ATTGTAGATAGGGTCTCTGTTGGAGATCTCATTCCAAGTCCAAGAAGCCAGGTCACTTTTATGAATTACATGGCATTATCATCACGCTAGTGTTGTGCAAATACCATAATCTATCTTGTATGCAGGAATTTTCCCTCATAATCTTTCTATCCTATGGAGTCACACTTGAAAGAATGCTAATTATGTTAAGCAAATGCTTTACAAAATTATTATTTTTGCTTCCCATAATAAGCTATATCCTTGAGGTTTAGAGAGGTTGGGGTTTTGGGAATATGAACAGGGAGATGCAAAATTTATATGGTGAATTAGTCCCTCTGCATTCACCCTTTTCTTATTGGTTGCCATGAGCAAGAGTTCATATTTTGTTTGTGCTCTGCTGGAAAATGTTCTTACTATTTTGATAGCAACTTTTATTTTCAGGATGGGTTTTATGTTTAAATGCTTAGAACTTGAATCAAGTTGTCAAATCAATTACTTAAAATAAACTTTCGCCTCGCTTTGCTAATACACAGACATGATAAATAGATCTCTGTAGATAGAATTTTGATGAGATTGAGATATTATGCTCGTTTTCAAGTGGAGTAACTGATATTTTCTTTCTTGGTGCATTACATCTGCAGGTGCAACAATGTTTTGTATCTTCGTGGGGTACCAGAAGATGAAGACATAGAGGATGCAGATAGGGACTAAAGCAGTTTGATCATGGTTTAAATAGAACGGCTTTATGGTATATCTATTGTAATTTGAGTACTGTCTAAAAAACATATACATGAAGGTTTTTTCTCCTTAATTGTGACTTATGTAGTAATTACTTTTTGAAATGTTATTATCTGCTCTTTCTTTGTATGCATTATACCCTTTCCAGATTTGGAGTAAGTAATCGTGAGGACATACGCTGGATCCTTAAAAACTTCAAAAAAAAAAAAAAAAAATTATATATCCATTGAAAGTTTCTTTTACTAAATAAATAGAACTCTAATTACTGTTTCAAGAAACAATTATAGATGGTGTCATCTAATTTGATTAATGGGTTGGAATACAGTAAGGATAGTCCTCTCCTTTCTTAATTCCATATCTCATTATCTCAGAACTTAAATTTCTTAAATTTGAAAATTTTTTACTCATTAATCTTTTACTAGAACACTCAGCAACAGCCATGTCTCTACCTCGTCTCAAAACTTAAATTTGAAAATTGAACTTACTAGAAATCTTTTACTAAAACACTCACCAATAGCCACATCTCTGGTAGGGTTGACAAAGCCTTGTGGTAAGGCATCTGGGTGTGGAGTTTAAACACCACCTTTCCCTAGCGTTACTGTATCACATTACCCGTCCCCCTCCTCAAATTTTCCAAGTTAAGGGGATAAAAAAACACCTTACTAAAACACTCATTTAAGAGCTTTAAAAAAAAATAGAAATTAAAGCATGGTTTGACCACATAGACACTGCTCTAGCCCCTATGGTCTGATATTTTAAAAAATATGGTCCAATAAAAAAAATTTATTAGGATCTACATACAAAGTTATACGTGTATATGTGACAATTTAATGTTGAAATGGATTGATGTGAATTGGCGTAACGTGACGAATGCATAATTGAAGAGTTTAGTATTTTACCATTTAGATTATATTGATTATAAATTATGAATTATTGTATAAAAGAGCTTATATTTATTGTTTGATGATCATTCATTATTTAATAATTAATATTTTATAGTTTAAATTAAATGACAAATTTTTTTTATGGGCCAAACCATCCATTTATACGTTATACATTTTTTTTTTGTCAACATTCTCTAGAATTTTTGTTTTCTATCAACATCCTTCAAATTTAAAACTTGTAAAAAACCTAACAATTAACTATCAACTATCAAATCCCTCAATTGTACCTTAAGTTGTACATAACTTAGTCATTAATTTAAAGTTTTTTACAAGTTTTAAATTTCAACAACATACCCCATGTTGGAAGTATATTGCTAAAAGTGAATTTCAACAACATACCCCATGTTGCTTTAATATTTTGGTCACTATACAATACATATTTTAACATAAAAGTGAGCTCCACTTTCAGTAACATATTTCCAACAATACTTTCAACAATAAAGGGTATGTTGTTGAAAGTGAATTTTTGCTTCAATAATAAAGCACATATTGTTGTAATTTTTTGGTTATCTAAAGCATTAGTAACACATATCATGTTGTTGATTTTAGACATTATCAACAAAATCTACGTTGTTGTTATTTTTATATTTTTAGCAATCAAAAATCAGTAACAAGGAATATGTTGTTGATATCACTACTTTGACCGACTATTAGCCACGACCATTACATATACACCTTTTTTCGGCCATTACTTAGTAAATAGTCAACTCTAAAAAGTGATATTTGACTCTTAAGACATTCAAAGTCGATTATACAAGATCAAGATTCGACTCCTAAAATCCAGAGAGTCAAAAAGTCTTAGGCTTAAGGCAGAGTCAACTTTACAAAGATATAAGGAGAGATGTCACTAGAACATCTAAAATGAAGGACATCACAAAATCTCACTTTAGTATCACATCATTAAAATTAATATTATTTTATATAAATTTATATTTTTATATATTTAATCTTCAAATAAAATATTTAATAAAAATCTCCCTTTAATGCATATTTAAACAAAACTTCCTCAAAAATTGTACCATTACTCTTTTATTCTAGCTATATTTTATATATTTAAATAAAGTATTTAAATTAAAAAAACTTCAAAATCCAGCACTGGGTTGAGTGGCAGGGAACCGCTTGCAGCCACTTGACATGCACACAGTCGCTTGTAAATAAAGTCAAACACAACAGCTACATTTCAAAGGACAATGGTCAAAACGACGTACTTCTTGTTTTTTGGGCAAATAATTTTTACCTAGCTGGGCTTTGTTCAAAAAGTCGAGCTTGGTCATTGTTCGGGCCGTGTTTTGGTCCAATGTTACTTCAACTTGTGCTCTGTTCTATTTTGAAAAAGAAACATGCAAGAGAGCTCCCATTGGAGATGCTCTTAAGTTCACTTTTTGTTAATTGGGCTGACGTGGCAAGTTAAGTTTTAAAAGGTCAATGTACATTTTTATAGGAAAATAATTGAGAGATAATCTTTTTATAAAATTTTTT